CACTACAGACTCACTTCTGAGGAACCAGAGGAGAAAGCAAAGTGGTTGAGACCTGTTAGTTTGCCCCTATCTTTTGAACAAACCCTGTGAGAATCAACCACAGCTTAGGTGAGTCAGTGTTCCTCAAGACATTCTGTTAACATATTGTACAGTAGCATTATGTTTTACTGGTAAATAAATATGCTATAGTCTATGCAGAGCCGTGGCCGGGTCCATTCGCGTCCACTCGGGTCAATCAGCTGTAGTTACATACTGTAGACCCAAGACCCAATGAGAATCTAAACAAAACCCGACCCAGACCCGAGGGAAAACTTAGAATTTTGGACCCGGGCCCGCACGGGTATTCGGGTGGACCCGTGAAGACCTCTAATGTACAGTGTTATCTCCATCTCTTTCCCAGAGGCAAAGTGTTTGAACTACAAGCACTGGCAGATAACACAGACCAGACACTCACTAACACGTCTGTGTGAGAAAAGACAACAGAAGTGTCCTGTGATGTTCAGAAAGAGGAAGATGGGGAAAAACACAACAATGTCGATTTTGGTGACATTGTTGAATTTTCTTTGCCGGCATCACTTCCTGGGGTCTTGGATCAGGTGACGAGGCGGTGCGATCTCATTGGCAGAGCTGCAGGATCTCATGGCGATCGTTGGACTTTCTCTTCATGTTCTGAGGGAAACAAAAGCATAAAATGGTTAAGAAGACATGGGGAAACCATTACAATATGACAAACAAACTAAGAGTCATCTGTGAGACAAGACACATAAAGCATAAAGTGAGGGAAAGATCCTGTCCCATAGGCTAAGTGACTCCAGGCTTAACATGAGATGACATAACATGACAGAGGTTGTGTTTTGGCTCATCCATGTCGTCTGAAGCCTCGATGAGCTACTCATTCCTATTCCATGGTAAATTTAAACAATGTGTGGGCTCAAAAACTATTATCCAATCTCCCTATCCCACGCCTAAGTACACCACAACAGCTAACTATAGAGCTACAATAGGTGTGTAAGAGTATGTTTATTTACTTGTCTATGGGTGTTACTGTACACTGAGTGTACAAAACATTAAGAACACCTGCTCTTTCCATGACATAGACTGACCAGGTGAATCCAGGTGAAAGCTATGATCCCTTATTGATGTCACTTGTTAAATCCACTTCAGTCAGTGTAGATGAAGGGGAGGAGACCGGTTAAAGAAGGACTTTTAAGCCTTAAGACAATTGAGACATGGATTGTGTATGTGTGCCATTTAGAGGGTGAATGAGCAAGACAAAAGATGGAAGTGCCTTTCAACAGGGCATGGTAGTATGTGCCAGGCGCACCGGTTTGTGTCAAGAACTGCAACGCTGCTGGGTTTTTCATGTTCAACAGTTTCCCATGTGGATCAAGAATGGTCCACCACCCAAATGACATCCAGTCAACTTGACACAACTGTGGGAAGCATAGGAGTCAACATGGGCCAGCATCCCTGTGGAACGCATTCAACACCTTGTAGAGTCCATGCCCCGATGAATTGAGGCTGCTCTGAGGGCAAAAAGGGGTGCAACTCAATATTAGGAAGGTGTTCTTAATGTTTTTCACACTCAGTGTCTAAGTGCCCCTTCTGGTTGTGACTTAAATTGACAGGATCTTTCCACACCCTGAATAATTATCACCTGTCAACATATACCTGCACAGTCTGAGACACAACAACACTACTACTACAGAATAAGCTGGCAGCTAAATCTAGATGCTTTCTCGCTTTACTTTTGAAACACTAAAAGAGAGATCAGACAGTGAAGGATGGTGCAGATGGGCGGAGGTCTTTAAACAGATGGTGCACAGAATGCTAGGCTAATCCTGTCCAGCACAGTACAGCACAGGGATTCCCTGATTGTAGGACACAGACACACATTCTGTACTGCCATGTAGATCTGGGTGTCTTGACAATAGAGAAAGGGGCAGAGGGACAGAGAAGCCTTGGACCCTGCTATTCTAGGAGGATTACTAACGGATACATAATGGCCCTGTTATTACACACAAGCACCTTCATTCCAGAGCACTGTTTCAGAGCCTTTGTCGTATCATAGACTTGTCCTTTGATGGCCGCCTGAATGAAATCTGACAGACAAATGAGAAGAGCAGGGGAGAGAGGAGACAGGAATAGGTGTAAATGACAAGGAGTTCGGGGAGAGCTGGACCTACCTCAGTTCAACACAGATTTAATTAATTGCACCAGTGTGTCTTAATCCTGGTCCTGGGGGACCCAAAGGGGTGCATTTTTGTTTTTGCCTTAGCACCAAACACCCGATTTGAATCTTCAAAGCTTGATGATGACTTGATCATTTGAATCAGCTGTGTAGTGCTAGGGCAAAAAACAAAAATGTGCCCCCCTTTGGGTCCCAAGGACCAGGATTAAGAAACACTGCGAAACCCACATCACTGTTCTTGAGTGTGTGTTCTACTGACCTGTGAAACACCTACTCCAACATGTTTTACTCCCTGGACTGTTTGGGAGTGTATTTTTAACAGAGAATATTTTCATTCATTCTCAGCACCAGACACACCGAGCTACAGCAGGTAACTGAGTTAATTAAGCAATTAACATCATGCTTAGGGTCATGTATAAAAATGCCCAGTTGCCCATTATATTGGCTACCATAGCTAGAATAAGAGATCTCAGTTACCAGATCTCAACCAAATTGAACACTTATGGGAGATTCTGGAGTGGCACCGAGACAGTGGTTTGCACCACCATCAACAAAACACCAAATTATGGAATTTCTCATGGAAGAATGGTGTTGCGTCCCTCCAATGGAGTTCCATACACTTGTAGAATCTATGCCAAGGCGCTTTGTTCTGGCTCGTGGTGGCCCAGCGGCCTATTAAGATACTTTATGTTGGCGTTTCCTTTATTTTGGCAGTTACCTATAGGTCAGTTTAGGTGGTGACACTTTGAACAGATGTGTTAAAACGTGGCATGGTAAAGTTTCTGGTCTCCCTCTCCAAAATGAAACACATTGATAGGGTGTTTGCCTATCAGATAGTGTTTCTACAGGCCTCAATACACTTCTATACTGACCTATAGTACCTTTTAGAATCGCAAGTGTTTTGGTGACAATTTAGTTGCTTTAAAGTTTCTAGCATCGTTCTCCAAAGGGAAACACATTGATAGGGTGTTTGCCTTTCAGATAGTGTGCACGTTTGTGACCCAACAAACATAAATAATGAAGATATGACATCCACAAGATGGCTTATTTTCCGGGATATTTATTGGCCCAGCAAAAGCTTTGCTTGTCATACTCAAGTCATACACAGTACTCAGGCAAGACCAGGTGCAATCTGCTCCAAACGATCATCAAAATCTACATATAAATAAATAGTTAGAGAACATTTCTTACAAAAAAACAAAATTCAAATATCAGAAGCAAACAAATGAACAAAGGTAGTACTGCCATTATGATATGTAGAACATATTTGGCCAGTTTCACTGTTGGCGTAGTTACTGCGTTTTACCTTTATAGGGCAGAGTAGTACACTACTTACAATTAAGTATGAATCAGCCAATCAGAGAGCAGTACAAAATAGCATTTACAATTCACCTTTCCACTCAGTTCTAGACTTGAACATTACAAACACTGAGCATTCCTTCAAGTCTGATATATTTACATGTCTAGTTACAGAACATATTTTCATAACAAAGATTTAAGTGCTCACACATTTTAGCAGCTGGCTTACAAATACAAGTGAATCATGATATAGTCATGTTATACTGCATGTAGTCTGAAGGTAGCATGTCTGCATTTCTATGGCCAGCTATATGGGTACAGAAGCAACATTGGGCTTGCAGGACAAGCACTAGGCACTCTAGGTCCAAATCTATTTTCAGAGAGAAAGACTGAAAGAGACAATTGTGTCTATGGACAGTCATACACACAACTCAACAGGAATATCATCTTTGCTGTGCAAAATTATCATGCATTTCATAGCACATGAGCACACAGATCGGTCAATTTAACATCCTTTAAGTAACAGTATGATACTCAAATCTTTAGAAATAAATCATAACAAAAAAGTGAATAAGTGCTCAACATCAACAAGTCAGAGAGATAAACACTATTTGGGTAGTCATTATTTCAGAGGCATCCCTATAGGAAAATGTTTACATCGTAAACTAAATGACTCCATCTGTTTTTAAAAGAGTGATATAACCATGGATACATGATTCATCACTCAGATCTCAGGAGGGTGTCAAGAAAGGGAGATTTCAAATTTGGCCTGGTTCCAGCTCTCTGAAGGATGCCTTGCCGAGTGCCAAGTAGTCACTCAAACCAGATATGATAATAGTTCCTTAGAATCACAGAGCTATTACCCTAATTAAATCAAAATTCCGGGGTGAGATGTCACTACAGACTCACTTCTGAGGAACCAGAGGAGAAAGCAAAGTGGTTGAGACCTGTTAGTTTGCCCCTATCTTTTGAACAAACCCTGTGAGAATCAACCACAGCTTAGGTGAGTCAGTGTTCCTCAAGACATTCTGTTAACATATTGTACAGTAGCATTATGTTTTACTGGTAAATAAATATGCTATAGTCTATGCAGAGCCGTGGCCGGGTCCATTCGCGTCCACTCGGGTCAATCAGCTGTAGTTACATACTGTAGACCCAAGACCCAATGAGAATCTAAACAAAACCCGACCCAGACCCAAGGGAAAACTTAGAATTTTGGACCCGGGCCCGCACGGGTATTCGGGTGGACCCGTGAAGACCTCTAATGTACAGTGTTATCTCCATCTCTTTCCCAGAGGCAAAGTGTTTGAACTACAAGCACTGGCAGATAACACAGACCAGACACTCACTAACACGTCTGTGTGAGAAAAGACAACAGAAGTGTCCTGTGATGTTCAGAAAGAGGAAGATGGGGAAAAACACAACAATGTCGATTTTGGTGACATTGTTGAATTTTCTTTGCCGGCATCACTTCCTGGGGTCTTGGATCAGGTGACGAGGCGGTGCGATCTCATTGGCAGAGCTGCAGGATCTCATGGCGATCGTTGGACTTTCTCTTCATGTTCTGAGGGAAACAAAAGCATAAAATGGTTAAGAAGACATGGGGAAACCATTACAATATGACAAACAAACTAAGAGTCATCTGTGAGACAAGACACATAAAGCATAAAGTGAGGGAAAGATCCTGTCCCATAGGCTAAGTGACTCCAGGCTTAACATGAGATGACATAACATGACAGAGGTTGTGTTTTGGCTCATCCATGTCGTCTGAAGCCTCGATGAGCTACTCATTCCTATTCCATGGTAAATTTAAACAATGTGTGGGCTCAAAAACTATTATCCAATCTCCCTATCCCACGCCTAAGTACACCACAACAGCTAACTATAGAGCTACAATAGGTGTGTAAGAGTATGTTTATTTACTTGTCTATGGGTGTTACTGTACACTGAGTGTACAAAACATTAAGAACACCTGCTCTTTCCATGACATAGACTGACCAGGTGAATCCAGGTGAAAGCTATGATCCCTTATTGATGTCACTTGTTAAATCCACTTCAGTCAGTGTAGATGAAGGGGAGGAGACCGGTTAAAGAAGGACTTTTAAGCCTTAAGACAATTGAGACATGGATTGTGTATGTGTGCCATTTAGAGGGTGAATGAGCAAGACAAAAGATGGAAGTGCCTTTCAACAGGGCATGGTAGTATGTGCCAGGCGCACCGGTTTGTGTCAAGAACTGCAACGCTGCTGGGTTTTTCATGTTCAACAGTTTCCCATGTGGATCAAGAATGGTCCACCACCCAAATGACATCCAGTCAACTTGACACAACTGTGGGAAGCATAGGAGTCAACATGGGCCAGCATCCCTGTGGAACGCATTCAACACCTTGTAGAGTCCATGCCCTGACGAATTGAGGCTGCTCTGAGGGCAAAAGGGGGTGCAACTCAATATTAGGAAGGTGTTCTTAATGTTTTTCACACTCAGTGTCTAAGTGCCCCTTCTGATTGTGACTTAAATTGACAGGATCTTTCCACACCCTGAATAATTATCACCTGTCAACATATACCTGCACAGTCTGAGACACAACAACACTACTACTACAGAATAAGCTGACAGCTAAATCTAGATGCTTTCTCGCTTTATTTTTGAAACACTAAAAGAGAGACCCATTTCAGACAGTGAAGGATGGTGCAGAGGTCTTTAAACAGAACAGAAAATGGACTCCTGTAGCTCAATTGGTTGTAAAGGGCGGCAGGTAGCTTAGTGGTTAAGAGCGTTGTGCCAGTAACCGAAAGGTCGCTGGTTCTAATCCCCGAGCCAACTAGGTGAAAAATCTGTCGATGTGCCCTTGAGCAAGGCACTTAACCCTAATTGCGCATGTAAGTCGCTCTGGATAAGAGCGTCTGCTAAATGACTAAAATGTTTTTTAAATGGTTGAGCATGGCGCTTGCAACGCCAGGGTTGTGGGTTCAATTCCCCCGGGGAAACAAATATAAATGTTCTAACGACGTGAGTGACAGAACAGTGTGTAGGGGTTGGTGTAGTAACATGCAGATAGCAATGCTAGTGCAATGCTCTGACATCAGCTAGAAGGAATGGGAGGCTGGAATGGTACACAGGACGTGAGGGAGGCACTTGGCACATGTATTCCTCAGGGAGTAACGGGACAGTTTTCATGACAACATTGTAGCGTGTCTGTGAGAAACTAGCCTGGGAAAACGACTGGGATCTTACACAGTACTTTCAATGGAACACTGACTGAGGATGATCTATTTCATGCTATGGGGGAGAGGATTGGAAAGAAAGAGAGAGAGCGAGCGAGAGACAGGTACTTACAGGCAGACTTTGCCCAGCCAGTGCTGCATGGTGAAGAAGAGAAGGAAGAAAGTATGAAAAGAAAAGAAGAGTGAATGTTAAGAGAGTGAAGAAAAGAGAATGGAAAAATGCTTAAAGCAGAAGAGAGGGATAAGAGATGTCCTTCCGTTGTTTTGAGGAATCAAAGGAGAGAGAGAGAGAGAGAGAGAGAGAGAGAGAGAGAGAGAGAGAGACAGACACTCACCTGTCCGGCCAAGGTGAGATGGGAAGGTGTGCAGAGGGACATGGGCGAGGGGGGCAGCGCCTGGAGGTGTTCGTCCAGGCCGTCGATGCGGGGCTTCTTGATGTTGGCCTCTGGGCTGGTCAGGGGAGTCACACTGTTCCTCCTGATCAGAGTCCCAGGATACTTCTTCATCTCCTCTGGCCTCTCTCTGTGTGTGTTCACCGCTTCCACGTTGAGCGAGATGGACTCTACTTTGCAGCCTGCACACCGAGTGAAAACACACACACACCACAGTCAGAACAGATATTTAGACCTTTCTCCTGCCGTAGACAAGCTGTAGACCATACAAGAGATCCTAATACCCGATTTAGACTATAGAGCCAATCTGAACCGTACTGTCCTGTCTCTGATATGTTCTGGTCACATTGGCTTGGCTCAGTAATGTGAAAAGTGTACACAAGTTCTCACCGTAGGCAATGGGGGTGAGCTTCAGCACCGTGTGGAGGGGACACTTCAGGTAGGGCATCTCCTCTGCACTCTTATCCAGGAAGTAAGCCAGCAGACAGCGCATCACAGCCTGGTGACAGATAACCAGAACGTTCTCCTGTCTCTCCAGCTCCATGATCACTGGCTCCACCCGCTGGACCAGGTCCTGATACGACTGGAGGGAGGGAGGGAGAAGAGAGAAAGGTTAACATTATACTTTCACAGGCACATCGATTCGCAGCATTTGACACACTAGAACTAGGACCATGTGTAACTGTACAGGAGTTTGTAGTAGCAGGTTGATTCTAGTAGTATATTGTACTGTGCTAACCTCTCCCGTGGGGTAGCGGTAGTAAAATTTGTCCTGGTCTCTCAGGGCAACCTCCTCAGGGTATTTCTCCTTCACCTCATCGTACGTCATCTCCTCACACACTCCCTGTGCACACAACACACACCTCACATTAGAGCTGTTTAAATTAAGCAACACACACTCCAGTGAGTAGTCTATTCTAGTGTGTGTGACTCACAGCGTCTATCTCGTTGAGGGCCTTCCACTGTTCGTAGGGAACTCCTAGGCTCTCAGCAGTCTGGATGCTGCAACACATCTGACTGGTCCACACCTTCAGATCCGTCAAGTTCTGCTCGTTAACGAACATCGACAACACCCCAGAAAACTACACAGAGAGAAAGGGGGAGAGAGTAAGAGACCAGAAAAGTGTGTGTGTGTGTGTGTTTATGTGTCAACCTAGTGTGTGTGTGTATCTACTCTCGTACCTTTCTCCCCCTTGGCGACAGCCCTGAGTCTCCCCCCAGGCGTCCCTCCAGGTTGTGCATGTTCTCTCCATGGCGACACAGGTAGATGGTTCTGGGCTGGATGTGGATGTTCATCAGGTAGTAGACGATCTTACTCTGGACGTGGTCCTGGATCCGGTTCACCAGGAACCTTCTGCCTACATCTATCACCTTGATGAAGGACAGGTTCCTACGGAGAAGGTTAGAACAGGTTTAGTCTAGGGCCTGAATTCACAAAACGTCTCAGAGTAGGAGTCTCAGAGTTCCATATAATCATATTTATTATTATCTAAAAGGCCAAACTGATTCTAAATCAGGTTTAAGCCACTCTCAGATCACACAGTAAACAGTAGCTAGGGTCAACAGGTATGAACAGTGAATAAGCTAGATGAGGTTTAGGGGCTACCTGTCATACTGGTCTGGGTCCAGGGGTTCGTAGTGAACCCTGTAACACTCTATCCTCTTATGGAAGTCTTCTATGGCGTCTGTCTTGTTGCAGTCCTGGTAGTCTGGGCAGGACACCTTCACTTCCTGTCATGGGAGGAAGTAGAAGGTTAGGTGACAGCGTAAAACACTATTATAGATATTACAACATCAGTAGCTAACATCAGGCTGCAACATTAGAGGAACCTTGCAGGAACATGAGCCAACCAATAACATGTTTCTTCACATGTTCTGTTCAGATTTCTGACTCACCATGATATTTGTGGCGATGACGCTGGGATCATCACACACCGACTCGATGAAGAAGATCTGCACACACACGGAGAACCATTTAGAGTCATTTCATCATCTTTACATTGAAAGACATGAGTCATTCGATCACGTCTCTGTTTGAGTCATTCCATGTAAATCGCATCAATCCTCTCGTAACCATAGAAACACCACTGACTCTGAAGCCGTTCTCACTGCCGAAGTCCAGGATCATGTCTCGTCTGTCACGAGTAGTGTTGGTGGCATCGAAGACTGCAACCTGCCCTCCCTCCTCTGTCAGGTAAGATTTTACGTCCCTCAGAGCTGCTAAGGCACATTGTCTATGGAATCAAATAAATAATCTCTGTTAGCCTTGTTTCAAGTACACTCTGATGATCAATGCTAGAGTATCAATGACATCACATGATGCTCAGAACTTGTCATGGTAAAATACAGAGTAGGATGGGGAGTAGGGCTGGACTCACTGTCTGATTTTCACGGCACTCTCGTTGTCAGCCTTGAAGAAGTCGTAGGAGCTGTAGTTCTTGACTGCTTCTCTGCGATACTCTCCCACGTTGAAGACTGGAGGCAAGGAACAAACTAACAATGGTAAATAGAATGTTCTGGAGGGAGAAAAATGAGCCCAAGCCCAGTTTGTGGTAAATCTGCAAACTAAAACAGAGGAAAATGAACTGGATGAGATGGCAGGAATTCAGATTCAAGAACAATAATCCAACCTCCACCCTCTTAACCCCAGCTTTCCTCTTAGTGAATAAATTCAACAATAAGATCAAATAAACATTTCTAAAATTGAGGTCATTTTAGGGCAGTGAGACGCACATTATTATGACCAATAATAACGTTACCAATCTGTTAGCTACAGCTGTTGATGTGACTCATTATGTGCAGTGTGTTTGTTGAGTGTGTGTGTGTGTGTGTGTGTGTGCTGTGTACCTTTGGTGGGCATGCCGATCCAATTGAGGTATCGGGTGAGTTTCTTGGACATGTAGGTCTTCCCCCTGGCTGGTAGACCCACCATCACAATCACTGTAGGGGGGTTGGCCAGGTGGGGGCCCCCAGTTGCTATAGACAGACAGACAGAGACAGACAGACAGACAGACAGACAGACAGACAGACAGACAGACAGACAGACAGACAGACAGACAGACAGACAGACAGACAGACAGACAGACGACAGACAGACAGACAGACAGACAGACAGACAGACAGACAGACAGACAGACAGACAGACAGACAGACAGACAGACAGACCAGATAAGTAATGCAGCACCAGACAGACAGACACAGACAGACAGACAGACAGACAGACAGACAGACAGACAGACAGACAGACAGACAGACAGACAGACAGACAGACAGACAGACAGACAGACAGACAGACAGACAGACAGACAGACAGACAGACAGACAGACAGACAGAACAGACAGACAGACAGACAGACAGACAAGACAGACAGACAGACAGACAGACAGACAGACAGACAGACAGACAGACAGACAGACAGACAGACAGACAGACAGACAGACAGACAGACAGACAGACAGACAGACAGACAGACAGACAGACAGACAGACAGACAGACAGACAGACAGACAGACAGACAGACAGACAGACAGACAGACAGACAGCGACAGACAGACAGACAGACAGACAGACAGACAGACAGACAGACAGACAGACAGACAGACAGACAGACAGACAGACAGACAGACAGACAGACAGAGACAGACACACAGACACACAGAGACAGAGAGAGAGATTCAAATATTGTTCAATAGCCATACACACAATCAACCTGATAAATTGTGTACTCTCAATTTACACACAATAATGACACTGCATATAATCCGCACAAACCTTTAGTATTTCTTAATCTATTCTGAATCTAACCCATATTTTAGATTCTATTCCTCTCCAGTATATAAATAAACTAACAGCAGTCTGAATAAGCCCACTGCCCCAATTCTGACACCCGGTTGCCCGATTTCTAGCCCTCCTGCCCTAGCCCTACAGAACGGGATCAGGGCCCTTCTGTGACTGCATGAGTCCTCCCCATGCCACTCCAGCCGCAGAGCCCACCCACGTGCTGCCCAGGAACGTGCCTTGCTGCCCTAGCAACAGAGCCTGAGTGGGGCATCGATTCTGCATCACAGCACATCCAGCCCACATCCCCGCTGTACTGCATACTGTATTCAGAGAATAGCTCACGTGAGTGTGCAATCTAATGCAAAAGTCAAGCTAAAACCAGTTTCTCCCTGAGGATATCTCATGTCAAACTGACATGTAGCCTGTGCATCAGATACTAGATTATTTTCCAGGGTCTTTTTCTAATGGCACCCATACCATGACTGTTGTTTCATTGGCCAATACCTGTCTACAGTGTAAACATTACTGCATTTTCATCCAGTGACTAATGCCTCTCATTCACACGCTCCTACCAGCTCTAATCCATTTTCCAAGACACAGTGCCTCCTCAACGGAAAAACAGTTATAAAGCTATCTCTCCCTCCAATCACTCCCTCTCTCATTCTCCATCTCCCTCTATCCACCCCTCCCTCTCTCTCCTTCCCTCATATATTCACAGCATCCCACTTTATCTCTCTCTCTCTCCATTGCTCTCCCTCATTCAGTGTCTTATAGACTTGTGGAGACTGAGGCTCTGTCTGTCTGACTGGTCCTTGCAGCACAGCGAGGTGGTTAGTCATGGTCATGGGAGTGGATAGACACAGGTAATCAGCCCTAATACTAATTCCCTCCCCCCTGTCTGTCTGCTCTGCTGCCCCCAGGTAGACCCTTCCCCAGTTCCCCAGAGGTCAAGACGGTACATCTACCAGCAGAGACACTGCTGAAGCTGTCTCTCCCCCATCCTGACTGAACAGTCGGCTGATAAACCTCCTGCTAGAGAGATGGTTCCAATGTCAGGACCACTGTGCATGAGTGAATGCAAGTCAGTCTTTAAGGCATGAAAGGGTTTATGGAGACAATGCAGGGAAGTGAGATATAGCTTAGACTGGGGAAGAGGTGCCTTATTGTGTTATTTGTTTCTTAGATTTTTCACTGGACTGTTGAGAGGTAGCTCGCAAGTAAGCATTTGATTGCACTGTTTTGTATTACATTTACATTTTAGTCATTTAGCAGACACTCTTATCCAGAGTGACTTACAGTTAGTGAGTGCATACATTTTTCATACTGGCCCCAGTGGGAATCGAACCCACAACCCTGGCGTTACAAGCGCCATGCTCTACCAACTGAGCTACAGGAATGTATCCTGTGTATATGACAAATAAACTTAGATTTTATTTTATTTTGAGGTGGGATTCCGGCATTAGCTAAAGATTTTGTTATTGTGGTTTAATACAATGCCTATGATGGTGTGTATGTGTGTTTACAGGCTAGGACTTTGTGAGCATTAGTTTTCATTGCCTACCTCACCTATACTGAATCTCCATGTGATACAGACGTCACTAGCTATTGGTGCTTTCAAGACAACTGGGAACTTCGGGGAAAAACTAGGTCAAATCCTGTTGTCAGTGAAAGTTGGAGTTCTAGAAAGATGCCCGAGTTTCCGACTTGTATTCCGAGTTGGATGACCGTTCAAAACGATTTTCCAAGTCGGAGCTAGTTTTTTTTCCGAGTTCCCAGTTGTCTTGAATACACTGAAGTCGGAAGTCAGAGATTTCCGAGTTGCGAGTTCACCGTTGTTATGAACGCGGCATAAATTCCTTCACCTCTGTATGACACGCAGCATGACAAATAAACTGACGTCAGTGAATTAAGCAGTGGCTATTCAGGCAGTTGATATTGATCAGTCGGCTCTTTACAAACTGTCGTCACTAGTTACCACATCCATAAAGTAATAAACCCCGCCCATTTCTGCGATTTCTCGGCCATTGTCCAGCTCGCGCCATGCGGACACGCACGACAGTTAGTCCAATCCGAGCCCGATGCGTCTGCATGTGAAGTACCCTCGACACGCCCACCCACACACCGGTTCCTGGCTGTCACGAGCAGAGCGGGGAGCCCCCGGGACCACAGCCACAAAGTCATACAGGCCGCCTATTTCTACAATTTCTCTTCTTAAAATGTGATTGTAAACATAACCCTTACCACACTGCTAACTTTATGCCTAGCTCTAACATTAAATGAAGAACAAAAAGCTATTTTTTGTTTGACTTTGTGGCTATAGTAACTAGTGGATACTAGGGACCGGATGGGGGATATTGAGTGGTTGCTATGGTGAGCACGATCAACCATTACTCTCTATAGCTACTTGTGAATCCTGACCTGGCTGCGTGCCAATGGCCAGTTTGGATAGGCTAGGCTAATAGTGCATATGCTATCTAGGAACTTTTAGTATAATTATAGTAATTACACACAGTGTACTTTTTTCGGTAGGTTAATTTGAAAACTAAGCTGCTTTGAAATTATTCTGTTGAATGGTTTCAAAAAGTAGGCAAGCTAGGCCCATAACAGCCCATTGAAAATAAAGCCATGCGAGTTAAGCATCAAAACATGCAATCACATTTTTAAAAAAAATTTTTACACATTCTGTGCACCCTTGAACTTAAAGTTCAATAGACTACATTTTGCAACAATTTCTGGTGACCTGTCTGGGGTCTCCCTAACCTGGACCGCTAATATAGCCTAATATTCCAACCAGCTGTTACATTGTAGCTATTATTATAGGCTCAATTAGATTATTTATCTGATTATTGTGAATTAATCAATAGCATAATTATCACAGATAATGCCAAGTAATACATTTATCCTATGGACTTTTTCTAAATGAAACCTGAATGAATCAGATGGGTGCTGATGCCAGCGCAGGTTAGGCTACTACTTACATCGCCGGGGCACTGCCGGTTTGTCATCCTTTGAAGGAATCCAGATCTTTTGTATCCTGTTCTGAGTAAGCATTCCCAGAGGGTAGTGAAATAAAACACGAAAGAAACCTAGGTTTCCCACTAATATCAGTCCCCCCAAAATACTACCGCTGCGTGCTTTCAGATCAGCAGAAAATTAGTCTGTAATAGAATGTATTGCCGAGCTAAGCGATCGTTAAGCGCTGCTGTGTTCTATTGTAATACCGTTCAGCCTGTGCCGGTGCATTAATCTACCCCGCTGTGTCCCAGTTCCAGTATTTAAACTGTCGGAGAAGGAAACAACGTGACACGATGACTCCACCCAGGCGCGCGCTTTATAACCGAGAGTGATGCTGCGCGACCTTGTGGCTGATGACGGTAATCCACTATATTTGCAAATTTACATTTTTAGTCATTTAGCAGACGCTCTTATCCAGAGCGATTTACAGGAGCAATTAGGGTTAAGTGCCTTGCTCAAGGGCACATTTACGTCATTTAGCAGACGCTCTTATCCAGAGCGACTACAAATTGGTGCATTCACCCTATAGCCAGTGGGATAACCACTTTACATTTATACTTTTATTTTATTTTATTTTTTTTTTGGGGGGGGGGGGGGGGGGGGGGGTAGAAGGATTACTTTATCCTATCCCAGGTGTTCCTTAAAGAGGTGGGGTGGGGTAAATGGGAGTATCCCGGCGGTGCACGTGCAGAATTGCACCGCAGTTCAGACAGACGTACAAATATGACCCAAGGAGACACAAATATGACCCAAGGAGATGCTTTTCTGCATTTGCACTTTGCGGTCTCCAGATATTATGTGGTGCCATGCCAATGTCCTATAATGACACTTTCTGGTGCAGATTCATATATATTTTTTAAATGCAAATCATTAAAACTATTTGGCAACAACCATATCACCCTAAATTATCAAATAACGTTTTTCATTCGAGCAACACAGGATATGATGCAGGAAAATACAAAAGTAGAGAAGTGCTGGGTTTTTAAATAACGGCCTACACTCTCAGGAAGTGACAAACTTTTGCAAGAATTTTACTTCTGGGTAACCGAGATTATAGGCTATGTGATTGCCATAGTGGCACGTAGACTTGTCCTGAGCATGGCTGTAGCCTGCAGTCATGTAGGACCATTTGAGTTTATATCATTAACAAACTTAAGATACCAGTGAAAGGATTTGTCCAGTGAATAATGGTATTGTGCCATTTGGATCTGATTATTTCTAAATTCTTCTGGATCCAAGTGCAAGGTGTATATTTCAGAAAGGGGGAGATACAAGTGGCGCAGCGGTCTAAGGCACTGCATCTCAGTGCTTGAGGCGTCACTACAGACCCCCTGCTTCGATTCCAGGCTGTATTGGGAGTTCCATAGGGCGGCGCACAAATGGCCCAGCATCGTCCGGGTTTGGCCGGTGTAGGCCGTCATTGTAAATAAGAATTTGTTCTTAACGGACTTGCCTAGTTAAATAAAGGTAAAAATAAAATAAATACAAATAGAGTGCATGTGTTTGTATGTGGGCCTGTCAACCTCTCCACACGAAACTCTTCATAGCCTAGCCTACTTCTTCACCCATCTGTTTCTCTCCTGAACCAGGTCAGAGCCTGACCCAGACCCCGATCACCCACACTAGGGATTCTAGGGAATACCTCCCCTTGACAGGACTGTGACCCAGTCTGGGTGCCAGGGGAGAGGAGACCCCCCCACCAAACACTTGTGTGTCCCCTTCCCTAATACACACACTCTCTGTCCTTTCCATGTGTTTGATGCCATTCCATTCGCTCCGTTCCAGCCATTATTATGAGCCGTCCTCCCCTCAACAGCCTCCACTGGTTTCTATGTATCTAACCTTTATTTTGAGGTTAGTCATAAAATCTATGAATTAGCTAAATTCAGACTGTTACAGTCTGAATTAATTCTCCACAGAGATTATTCATTATGACAGTCCTCTAACTCCCCCATAGACCGTCTGTTTTACATAATATCTGAATGAGGCTGGAGGAGGGAGGGCTGTGTTTCTTTCATAACTGCCCGTGCTGGGCTATGTAAAGATGGAAAGCTGGGGGTCTGGTCCTCTGGGTGCTTCTTATGTTAGACAGAAAGAAAATGGGCTTCCTAGACTACGCTCTGCCCTAGAAGAGTGAGAGATTAAAATAAAAAGATTTAAAACAAAAGAAACATTTATTTTCAGCTTTCACTTGTACAGGTTCATATCGGGACACAGAGATCAAGACAGTAGTTCATTACCTCACATACAAGATTTTTCTGCTGGCAAAACAAAAACTACAGGTGAAACTCTTTACTAAATACAGACACATTGTGCTGCTGTTGAGAGTATAAATGTTTGGGCTACTTAAGAGACAGAAAGAGCTACTGGTGATTACCAGTGTGTATGTTTGTGTCAGAGCATTTCTTCCGTTCCTGTTGGTATGGATGAGGCGGGTCATAACGGTTCAGGTGGGACGGAGTGTGTGTGTGTGTGTGTCTCTCACATCTGCTCTCCCAGGTCCAACACTCTGAACTTATCCTGGTTATAGAAGCAGGCTTTTACCACCCGACCACCAAAGAACCTCCCATTCAGATCCACCACAGCTAGAGGAGAGAAGACAGGAGACAAACATTACAGTGCAAACATGATTTATTAACATTACTGACTTTTGACTTTTCTGTCAGCTTAGGCCAGACATGTCTGCAATATCACATTGAGTGAAGACTAGTGAGGTATTGGGTCGTTTTGTTCGTTTGGACAGTGAACAAACATACTGTCATCCTAACACGGTCTCTGGGATGGTGCTCCTCTTTGATAGTCTACAGTGTTTTCATCATGGACCATAATTCATGTTTATCAAAGCTTGAAAAACCAAAACGTTGTGGCTATGAGAGGCTTTGGCATTTCCTGGTATTCAAACACTGTGGAAAACACAGCCATGACATCACCCAAGTTCCCAGGAGTTTCTCCTTCCCAAGAACGTCACAGATAAACAACAAACACAGTCCTGGAGGCAGAGTTCAAACACACACCCAGTCTACAGTAGTGAGATGGACACACTGTGTGAGAGCTCCTTATCAACGCTAGGTACATGACCTCACGGGGGCGTGTGTTTGAGCAGTGATTACAAGTATCTAGTCATCCTAACACCAACGCCGGGACATTCCCAGTAAAACAGGCACTTCTGTGGACAAAAGATGGATACACGTGCAGAGCCGTGGTGTATTGGTAACCCTCCCCGGCATAAGTCACATATATGTCTCCCCACCGGATACCGGGGTTCAATCCCAGCGCCCACCTTTCCCACGGTTTCTCTACCACTTGCCTGTCTCCCCCTTTGAATTTCTTACTGTCTAAATAAAAGTCAAAACACCTGAAAAAGATAGTAACAATGAGTGTGTCCAGTCTGGTATTAGTAGCATTCTCTATCCTCTTTAGAAATGAATAGGGTGTGTGTGTGTGTGTGTGTGTGTGTGTGTGTGTGTGTGTGTGTGTGTGTGTGTGTGTGTGTGTGTGTGTGTGTGTGTGTCCGGCCCAGTCTAGTGTGTATATATTATGCAGGCCGTGTAGGGACAGCTGTGATGTAACACCTAGGGGAGACAGTCTCACCTGCTTTCTGATCTGGGACAACCCATTTAAACTGGCCCTCAGATTAGCCTTATTACACACGTAACAGTTATAGACACACAACAATTACACACAAACAAGGGCACACACACATACGTCTTACTGAGACCTCAAGGGCACACACATAAAGTAACCATACAGACAGACAGAACACACGTTAGGTTGTACTGACCTTTGATGGCTGACTCGACTCTCTCAAACTCCAGAAATATCCTCACTGCTTCATCATCTGTCACCTGGGCAATCTGAGGAGAACACATAGTTTAATACACATTATAAACTGGGTGGTTCGAGCCCTGAATGAAGATTGGCTGACAGCCGTGGTATATCAGACCGTATACCATGGGTACGACAAAACATGTATTTTAACTGCTCTAATCACATTGGTAACCAGTTTATAATAGCAATAAGGCACCTCAAGGGTTGCGTCGTGCATTAGAACAGCCTTTAGCCGTGGTATATTGGGCATATACCACACCCCCCCTGGCCTTATTGCTTAATGAGTCAACACACTATGAACTTAACCATACACACACAGACAGACGTATTCCTCTCACCTCAAAGATAACACACTTGATGACCTTGCCGTATTTCTCACACTCTTCTTTGGTCTCCCCCTCCAAATCTTCATCCACCTCTCCTCTGCCCACCATGTTCTAAAACACAAACACACTTCATTGAACCTATGCACATAAACAAACACACAACAATTTACAATAAATATTCATGCACAGACACAAAGACACACACACACAGCACCCACCCGTAGCAGCACTACTTTGGTGGGGCATTTGAGGATCTCTGTGAGGGGGTTGACCTCTGACTTCTTGGAGGGGTCCGCTGATGGGAGAAAGAGAACAGAATGTCAACAATAGGAAAAAAATAACTGAATATACTGGTAAACGTAAACAGGAGGAGCGTCGTTAAGACTGTGTAGATTGGACCAGAATGTGGACCACAATTGATGTTTTAAGAACGCTAATTTATCAATTAGATTATGAGAGCGTTACTGGCACTAACCTTAAAATCCAATTAACACATAATATTTTCATAATTTTCTAGGTTATTAACCATCATAATGTAGGCCCAAAATAAATGTGGTTACTAGTTCCATAATGAAACTTGACCCACATTGAGATGAGCAAACTGTATAACAAAAAAAATATCTATAATTTGCCTGTCAAAATGAGATGGTTTGAAATGAGAACAGATGGAGACAGCACAGACATGGGACAAGACACATGGGGCGAAACCAGATGTGATGCGTCAAGGTAGGGAGGAAGTGATGTAACAGTGCCAAACCTATTGAAGCCGAGCCCCAGCCTAAAGGCTCAGCTGCTGCCGTCTGGCTACTGGATCCTGGTGCTTTAGAGAGGGGGACACACATTTACATGAACACAGAAACAAAACAAAAAGACACCAACTAAGGTCACAAATGTTGAAGATTAAAATCATCAATGAATGAAAAACACCAATTAAAAAACTGAGGATGACCAAACACACAGCTACAAATAACATTACAATAGGCAGTCTTGGAACTAGAAACCAAGACCATTCATTCTGGGCCTATGTAGTACATGATAAAAACAAGCATCTAGACAGGCTAATGAAAACAAGCTTGTATCTATCTTATCTAGTAGAAAGAGATCATGACTATTGGTGTTAGAGAGAAAAGAAGAGGGGGGGGTGTAAAAAGGAGAGGGGGAGGGAGTCGATGCCGTGCATATATGATAAGAAAGAGTAAGAGATAAGTGAAATCTGAGAGAAAGACAGGAGAGCTGAGAGAGACAGGAGTGAGAGACAGGGAAATGAGTGAGAGAGTGCGAGACAGGGCAGTGAGACAGGAAGTATGGCGTTACTCTTCTCAGTGGCGTCTCCTATGATGATCTTGCCACCCCGCTTGCTGGTCTTCTCTACAGACAGGGCCGTGCTGAGACCCTGCTCGTGTTTGCCCAGCCCCTGGCCCTCCCGGAAGCCATACTTCTGCATGATCTTATGGGCCACTGTCCCTCTGTTGAGAAAGGGAACATCAGACAACACCACCGGACAGAACACTGAGCTGTTGTACTATACAGGTTGATGCCATTAGAGGGCCAGTGTTCAGGCTATTTCAGTGTGTTGTGTTTTGAGTTGGGCATGTGAGACGACATACAACTAATAGGACATTCTAGCCCAGTAGGGGAGTATCAGACTCACCCCATGTTGGCCAGGAATGAGTTGGTGGGACCGCCGGGTGGCGAGCGGGGACGGTCGGAGTCCTCGTACATGGGGGGAGGGATGGCTGCTTTAGAGCCACGGGAGGGTCGCCCCTCATCCTCATAGGAGTATGACGAGCCTGGAGGGGAGAGACTGTCAGTTAACGCACACACCTCACCCTGATGAAGCATGTTGAACATCATCCTAATTTTGAATAACACTGCTATCTACTGGACAAACTCCCCCACATCCCAAACAGACAGACACAAATCCCTTTGTGAGCCATTACTCACTGTCTCTACTATCCACGAGCGATGAGGGTGGGGCGATGGCTGCTCCACCCATACCTAAAATAAAGACATGGGTAAGAATCAAGGGACAGTCTAATCACCACATACAGTCTGACACATTATCCTGACGTAGTCACAACATTATCCTTCCTCAATAATGGCTCCTAATACTGGTGATAACTGCTGTGAAGGCTCAGTGTGGAGACCAGTGAAACCAGAGGTAGTCTACTCACTCCTTTTCCTCTTCTCCTTCTCATAGTCCTCCTCCTCATCATCAGACTCTCCCTCTGCCGCGGGGAAGCGGGAGAATCCGCTCGGAGCGCTGCTGCCCTCGTGTCTGTCCTTCCTCTTCCTGGACAGGAAGAACACACATGAGGTCAGAGAAAGAACGAAGGACAGAACATGGACTGAAATGATGTGGTCACTGTCAGGTCCATATTCCTAGTGTGAAAACGTCTATAAACAATGCGTCATCCTCAGTTTCCTTACAGTTTTCTGAGGGATATAACATTGTCAACAATAACAACAGAATCCTGTTGAATGTTCTAGAAGTGTAGCTTTGGTGCTGTTCCGTAAGAGGAGGTCGTACTTCTCTCTGTCCTCTATCTCCTTCAGTCGTTCCTGCTCTCTCTGCCTCTGCCTCTCCTCACGGTGTCTCTTCACCACTTTCTCGTAGTCGTTGGGGAACATGGGGTCATACTCATCAGCCAGGGGGATTAGCGCATCCCCCGAGGAGAACCCGCTGGGTGCTGTGTCCTGACACACACATCACATCACATAGGTCACACATAAGTAACGCACATTTCACATACAGACACCCTGACAAATACTTGTGTCACAGAAACACACACACAACCCTCACCTTGAGTCCTGATGCAATGTGTGGGGGTGTGTCTATGATCTGTCTGTCATCAGCGGAACCTCCTCTCTTTAGGTCGATGACTGGAGCCAGGACAGTACCCTGCTTCATCCGCTGACTCTGAGGGGAACACACACAACGCATCATCAATACCTCTGGATGAGGGGCCAAGGTTCATAGATATGGCTAGGAATGCTTTTGGTAAACACAGCTTTGAGTCATTCCTAAACCTGCAGTGCCATTGGAACCCACCTTAGCCTGAGTCAGAGCTGCCTTCTTTACTTTCAGCTGTGACTGCAGTAGCTTAAAATTCTTGGACCAGCCCTCGGTCTTGGTGTCACTGGTCGCACTCCCGACGCCCATGTCGTCGTAAAGCGACATGGTTCTCTGAGTTTAAAGACAAAGAAAACACTATTTTCACGCCACTTCGATACCAAAGTAACTTTTTCGTAGCAGGTTAGGATAATTAACGTAGCAGGTTAGGACACTGAGCTTAATGTTAGGAAAAGGGTTAGGGTTAGCGAAAATGCTCTCCTAACCTGCTACGAAAATAACTTTGTATCGAAGTGGCGTGGGTAAATAGACCTGTAAATAAAAACAATGTCAAGACAAAATAGGTAACTGACATAGCTAGCTAACGTTAGTTAGAGCTGTCGACGTTTGGATTGCAACAACTGCGCGACCACACATCACACACAATACACTGAGCAGACCATTACCAAACAGTCCAGTAGGTTTAGAAACTCATTACATTGTATTTGTGAGGACGTAGCCAGCTAGCTAACGCGTTACTTTTAGCCAACTAACGTTCAACAACAATTGTATCGGTCTTTTGTCGCAGAGGCACACTAACTATATTTCCCTCAGATACAACCCCTTTCCAACTAAGACTCAAATACTCACCTGATAAAATACAACTAGTAGCCAAATAAATCGTTGTAATGCGTGAATGTGTTCCTTTTTATAAGCACATTTAGCTACATAGCTTGCTACACGGACTTTCAAATCGATACAATAAACGTCATCAAAAATGGTCAACCTCTTCTTCTTTAAAATTGTAATGGCGGATCGCAACCAACTGCAAGGTGCATACACTGCCACCTACTATACTGGAGTGCGAGGCCGGTCACGGCTCCTTTTAATCTATTTCTCTTATCTAGTCCTGTGTTTTTGCCTACTGTTCTGGAGTGTGAATTAATTACACTTTGTGACACAAAATAGGAAAGGGAAAAGGCAAGAAAAATTGCCCTACACCCATTAAAACCTCACCACTATTCCACTAGCTGGACCTATCTGATCCTACATCATGCAGGCCCGGCAACCTGGGAGGACGGGACACTATTGTTCAACACACCTTGTAACTCTTCTGTAGTAAAATCTCAAACATCCAAGTACTTCTCTGCAGCTGCCACCACAACATCTATTTTCTGTAATTGACGTTCCATTTCTGCTTACAGTTGATAACCATGGCTATAAACGCCAAGAAACCAACCTTACATAATTCCTTTCACTCTCTATTGGCCTCAGCCTACTCACAGGTAGCCTCTTAGGATCCCTTGCCCTGGACCCATCTTCCTCTACTACTCTCTTCACTGCCTCAGGATATGACACCTTCTGTAGTACTCTGATCCTGGCAACCTCAACCTGCTTTTTTCTCAATGGACACTTCTGATCTCTGGTACCATGGGTACCCCTACAGTTAACACACACAACTTTTTCCACCGATACTACACATTCCTTTGTTTCATGCCCTCCTGCACACTTCTCACAACAAGGAATCTCCTTCCTAAACACTGCTGCAACGTGACCATAAGCTTGGCAACTAGTGAGCCAAGTTGCTTTTACACTGCTCAAAAAAATAAAGGGAACACTTAAACAACACATCCTAGATCTGAATGAATGAAATAACCTTATTAAATACTTTTTTCTTTACATAGTTGAATGTGCTGGCAACAAAATCACACAAAAATTATCAATGGAAATCAAATTTATCAACCCATGGAGGTCTGGATTTGGAGTCACCCTCAAAATTAAAGTGGAAAACCACACTACAGGCTGATCCAACTTTGATGTAATGTCCTTAAAACAAGTCAAAATGAGGCTCAGTTGTGTGTGTGGCCTCCACGTGCCTGTATGAACTCCCTACAATGCCTGGGCATGCTCCTGATGAGGTGGCGGATGGTCTCCTGAGGGATCTCCTCCCAGACCTGGACTAAAGCATCCGCCAACTCCTGGACAGTCTGTGGTGCAACGTGGCGTTGGTGGATGGAGCGAGACATAATGTCCCAGATGTGCTCAATTGGATTCAGGTCTGGGGAACGGGCGGGCCAGTCCATAGCATCAATGCCTTCCTCTTGCAGGAACTGCTGACACACTCCAGCCACATGAGGTCTAGCATTGTCTTGCATTAGGAGGAACCCAGGGCCAACCGCACCAGCATATGGTCTCACGAGGGGTCTGAGGATCTCATCTCGGTACCTAATGGCAGTCAGGCTACCTCTGGCGAGCACATGGAGGGCTGTGCGGCCCCCCAAAGAAATGCCACCCCACACCATGACTGACCCACCGCCAAACCGGTCATGCTGGAGGATGTTGCAGGCAGCAGAACGTTCTCCACGGCGTCTCCAGACTCTGTCACGTCTGTCACATGTGCTCAGTGTGAACCTGCTTTCATCTGTGAAGAGCACAGGGCGCCAGTGGCGAATTTGCCAATCTTGGTGTTCTCTGGCAAATGCCAAACGTCCTGCACGGTGTTGGGCTGTAAGCACAACCCCCACCTGTGGACGTCGGGCCCTCATACCACCCTCATGGAGTCTGTTTCTGACCGTTTGAGCAGACACATGCACATTTGTAGCCTGCTGGAGGTCATTTTGCAGGGCTCTGGCAGTGCTCCTCCTGCTCCTCCTTGCACAAAGGCGGAGGTAGCGGTCCTGCTGCTGGGTTGTTGCCCTCCTACGGCCTCCTCCACGTCTCCTGATGTACTGGCCTGTCTCCTGGTAGCGCCTCCATGCTCTGGACACTACACTGACAGACACAGCAAACCTTCTTGCCACAGCTCGCATTGATGTGTCATCCTGGATGAGCTGCACTACCTGAGCCACTTGTGTGGGTTGTAGACTCCGTCTCATGCTATCACTAGAGTGAAAGCACCGCCAGCATTCAAAAGTGACCAAAACATCAGCCAGGAAGCATAGGAACTGAGAAGTGGTCTGTGGTCACCACCTGCAAAACCAGTCCTTTATTGGGGGTGTCTTGGTAATTGCCTATAATTTCCACCTGTTGTCTATTCCATTTGCACAACAGCATGTGAAATGTATTGTCAATCAGTGTTGCTTCCTAAGTGGACAGTTTGATTTCACAGAAGTGTGATTGACTTGGAGTTACATTGTGTGGTTTAAGTGTTCCCTTTATTTTTTTGAGCAGTGTATTTTGCCTCTAACTTCTTCTTCTTCTATGATATCATGGCGGTCCACAAACAATCATTTAAGTACATGCCGCCACCTACTGTGCTGGAATGTACGATCAATCATGATCTGGCCAATTCTGTACTACCATGAAAATAAAATTCAAAACCAGATAAATCCCGAACTTCTACCATACCCTCCCCACAACAACCTTCAACCTGGCATTTCTGCTTTCCACAACCTGAGTCGTATTGATAACCTTACCAATAAAAGCTATGAAGTCAAATTTATTCATGATCAAAGTGTGCTTTGACACCGCACATTCATGAGCACAAGATTTCTGAACAGGCCTCGAAACCATGCCAGGACCATCAGAAGCACCAGCCCAACAGTAGGTCCACTTACTACAGGTTCTACCAATCTGTTTTACGGCCTCTGCATACGATACATCATGACTGATCCTATATCTCTGAGCCTCTCTAGCCTCTCTTTGTAGCTGGCATCCACCAAATGCTGCACTGTGTTCTCCCCCACAATTACAGTACTTAACCTTCACATTGCTTCCACATTCACCGTAATCATGTGCCCCTCCACACTTGGCATATCTTTTCTTTCCTTTTCACTGTCCCATTCTTTGGCATTTAAAACACTGCAGTGCATATGGGACAAATTCTCTAACACTGAAACTAAGGAATCCTATCTGTACTTTTCCCGGCAAGACTTTCTCAAACCTCAGCATTACTGATAACTTTCACTTCTTTGACCCTCTTTCCTACTGATCAACCTTTTGGCCTCAATCACTCTGCCTCCCTTCAAATGTTCTTTAATATCATCTGTGGACATAGATATTGGGACCCCAGTGATGACTCCCCTCAATCTAGCATAAGCACCAGGGACATGGCTTTTAATCTTCTTCCCATTAAGCTTTTCCATTTTCAGAATCTTCTCTTGATGAGCCTGGCTACCAGACAATATTAACAATCTACCATTTCCAATGAACCAAGCTAATTTTACTTCACCTACCTCTTTCTCTACGGCATTAGTTAGTCGGATAGGGTGTAAGTGAGGCCCTGTGGTCTCATCAAACACTATCTTGCCTCCACCTAGGGTTCGGATGATCACAACTGGAAAACAAAACTCTCAGATTACCACTAGATGGGGCTAGAGGACAACTTTTTCACAAGTGTTGACCGTATGCGGACCTCACACGATGTCATATATTCACATAGAACAATGAGCCAGATATTTCATCGGATGTATAAGTGTGAAGCATTCGGTTGGCGTTTTCACTCACTACCAAATATGGTGATGACAAGAAGCCCAGTGGCCGACAGTGGGAGAAGATGGAGGGAGATGGATTTTGGCCGACGTTATGTTAATTTTCTTATCGATGAAATATTTCATCTCAATACAGTTTTCTGTTCCCAAAACAAGAATCTGTTACTAACAGATTATATTAAGTTTTGTAGATTTTACCCTTTGCCAAAGTAGATAAAATTGCGTTGTTTAGAAGGAGTGCAAGGGAGAATTGAGTCATTGCACAGGCGCACTTCATAGAGTATGCGTTCCTTAACGGAAATATGCAAATATATGATAGAACGCGCCAATAGGATCTCGCTAGCTCGTGCTTGGCTCTGCCCTCCTCTTTGCTTGTTCTGCCCACTATGACTAAATTGTTCACATTGGAAACGGCAGGCTGTGGTCTATCTTTGGTTAGTTATAAAAATCTATGACATAGTCTTACAATTGGAATCAATGATTGCTTGTTGGAATCCAACCAACACAAGCCACGTCTAGCAATCCAAAGGTTGTGTTCAAATCCCATCATGGACAACTTTAGCATTTTATCTCATTAGCAGCTTTGCAACTACTCACTACTTTTTTTGTTTTTGCCTTAACAATACACAGCTGATTCAACTGATCAAGTCATCATCAAGCTTCAAGTGGTATTTATGTATTATTGTGATGCTATCCTGATATGACTGTATTGTCACATGCTACACTATTCCTCATGAAAATGAATGGGGAGCGGTGTTAAACCGCGTGGTATCACGTGCTAGTGTACACAGGGCATTAATCCCTAGGTAACGTTAGCAACCGTAAAAAATATACTTGTTTGAACTAGGCAAGTCAGTTAATAACAAATTCTTATTTACAATCATGGCCTACCCCGGCCAAACCCTCCCCTAATCTGGACAATGTTGGGCCAATTGTGCGCTGTCCTATGGGACTGCCGGTTGTGATACAGCCCGGGATCGAACCAGGGCTGCCTCTAGCACTGTGATGCAGTGCCTTTGACCGCTGTGCCACTCGGGATATGTATTGCAAATTCGTAACATATTGTACGAATTGCAAATCGTCACATATCATTCAAAATGGATGGACATCCACAAATTAATACATACCATAGGAAACGTAACATATCATACTATTTTTAATATTGAATAGTTACGTTTACTATGCTACGTGTACCCCTGAGTCCAGGTTGCAGCCGTAGACTTGAACGACTGAGAATGAAAGTGAAAGTACGAAAGTGGGAGCTACACATGTAGATGAAAGGTGTCCGGCGTTATCACAGACCACATCAAACGTTCTGCAATTCATATTATTTTCCTGTGGCTCAGTTCATCATCGAAGAGACTTGAAAGAGAGTCCTTGATCTAAACATTGGAATAGCAGGCGACAGGGTCATGCAGCTGTGTCTAATTTCCCTCCTTCTTATCATCAAAGTGTGTCGACTCAGTACTGTCAGGCGAGGTAAGTACATTTTGTCTGTTACAATTATGTCAGGGATAAACGTCATCCCTTTGCGGAGTTCATTTTTCCAAAGTATTTTACAGAACGGCGGCGTTTATCCCGCTTATATCTAAGAAAAAAATATGAAAGCACACATTTACCGGTATAAATATTTGTTTTTCCGTTGGTATTACATTTTTATAAGCGAATTCATACTTTATCATATTTTGGTTGTTAGTTCGAGTTGGATCCTCCCACATTTTCTAGTTTGACCAGCTGTTTTAAGCAATTTATATTTTTTTTATAAGGTTGTCCAATATAGCAGGTTTGCTAGCAGCAAACTATTTAGCTAGTTAAATTCGCGACCCAGTCGTTCGTTCGATATATATGGGCGCGAGTCTTTCGTTCTTTATGTTCCGTGCCATGCTCAGTTGCAACGTTGGTATCCTTTGCTTGCTGCTAGCTAGGCAACTAGCTACGGCTACAAAGCCACGACCCGGCTCTGCAGCCAGAATAACAGCAAAGTTTATTCGGTTGCGTTTGTTTAAGCTGTTTATCCCACTTATACCACAGTTACCAAATAAAACAATACTATAAGCACACATTTACCGGTAGAAATAACATTTAACCAAATGCTAGTATAAAATAAATTGGAGATAATGTCTAGATGCGTTTTACAGTGTAGATCTAGTATAAAAACTGAACAAAAATAGTTGTCTGGTGGCTGGTCTCAGACGATCCCATAGGTGAAGAAGCTGGATGTGGAGGGCCTAGGCTGGCGTGATTAGATTTAGCCGATGGTAATTTGTGGAATAGACACCGGCTGGAATGCGGTTTTAATTAATCGGCATCCAGGATTAGACCCACTCGTTGTATAATTCCAAGGTAATGTACAGAACATCAGCGTTTTATCCCTTCCTTACTATTTATTGATTTATTTCACACTGAATAATAAGCATATTATGTGTTTTTCTTTCTGTCATTTATTCATTAATGGTTATTTGGTGTGTGTATGTTGTTGAGGATGCTACTCACCTGTTGGGGGCTGCCATCCGCATAGATTGAACAACACTCTTAAAAGGTGTTATTTAGAACCTAAAAGGGTTCTTTGGCTGTCCCCATAGGAGAACCATTTGAAGAACCCTTTTTGGTTCCAGGTAGAACTATCATTCTCTCATACACGTTGAAAAAATGGTTATTCGGCTGTCCCCATAGGAGAACCCTTTTTGGTTCCAGGTAGAACACCTTTTGGTTCCATGTAGAACCCTCTGGCGAAAGGGTTCTACATGGAACCATGACATAGACTGACCAGGTGAATCCAGGTGAAAGCTATGATCCCTTATTGATGTCACTTGTTAAATCCACTTCAGTCAGTGTAGATGAAGGGGAGGAGATGGGTTAAAGAAGGATTTTTAAGCCTTGAGTCAACTGAGACATGGATTGTGGATGTGTGCCATTCACAGGGTAAATGGGCAAGACAACAGATTTAAGTGCCTTTGAACGGGGTATGGTAGTAGGTGTCAGGTACACCAGTTTTAGTGTCAAAACTGCAACGCTGCTGGGTTTTTCATGCTCAACAGTTTCCCGTGTGTATCAAGAATGGTCCTCCACCCAAAGGACATCCAGCCAACTTGACACAACTGTGGGAAGCATTTTTAGTCAACATGGGCCAGCTTCGCTGTGGAACGCTTTCAACACCTTGTAGAGTCCATGCCCCCCCAAAAGGGGGTGCAACTCAATAATGTTTTGTACACTCAGTGTGTTTGTTTGTTATTTAATGCATTTGTTGACATAATGGCAGTAAGGCCAAATTGAAAAGTTTCATCAAATAATTTATTTCAGATACTACCAGGTCTCCTAAAATAGAGAATCAAATAGCTTGATTGTCCATGTTATTACTATCTTAAATCAATTATAGCTTAGGGTAGTAGATATAAAGAAAAATGTGTTTTTAATAAAAAAAGCGATGGGCAATTATTCTTTACCCAAATGGTCCCCAGAGGAAGAAGGCCTAATTACTGGTCCCTGGCACAAATAAGTTTAAGGAATGCTGAAAGAAACCATGTCCTTACCTTGAAAGCAGTCTAAGCAGACAGAGGCCAGTTATGGACCTAAACTCAAACACTCATGAAAACATGAAACATTTATTGTCTATAATCAAATAATGTTATTTTGGACATAATATACTCTTATATAAGTTATAGAAATGGATAGAAAGATTTCTTTATGTAAATGTAATGTTTTAAATATACATTTAGGAGAGATTTTTGAAATATACAGTGGGAAAAAAAAGTATTTAGTCAGCCACCAATTGTGCAAGTTCTCCCACTTAAAAAGATAAGAGAGGCCTGTAATTTTCATCATAGGTACACGTCAACTATGACAGACAAAATGAGGGGAAAAAATTTCAGAAAATCACATTGTAGGATTTTTAATTTATTTATTTGCAAATTATGGTGGAAAATAAGTATTTGGTCAATAACAAAAGTTTCTCAATACTTTGTTATATACCCTTTGTTGGCAATGACACAGGTCAAACGTTTTCTGTAAGTCTTCACAAGGTTTTCACACACTGTTGCTGGTATTTTGGCCCATTCCTCCATGCAGATCTCCTCTAGAGCAGTGATGTTTTGGGGCTGTCGCTGGGCAACACAGACTTTCAACTCCCTCCAAAGATTTTCTATGGGGTTGAGATCTGGAGACTGGCTAGGCCACTCCAGGACCTTGAAATGCTTCTTACGAAGCCACTCCTTCGTTGCCCGGGCGGTGTGTTTGGGATCATTGTCATGCTGAAAGACCCAGCCACGTTTCATCTTCAATGCCCTTGCTGATGGAAGGAGGTTTTCACTCAAAATCTCACGATACATGGCCCCATTCATTCTTTCCTTTACACGGATCAGTCGTCCTGGTCCCTTTGCAGAAAAACAGCCCCAAAGCATGATGTTTCCACCCCCATGCTTCACAGTAGGTATGGTGTTCTTTGGATGCAACTCAGCATTCTTTGTCCTCCAAACACGACGAGTTGAGTTTTGACCAAAAAGTTCTATTTTGGTTTCATCTGACCATATGACATTCTCCCAATCCTCTTCTGGATCATCCAAATGCACTCTAGCAAACTTCAGACGGGCCTGGACATGTACTGGCTTAAGCAGGGGGACACGTCTGGCACTGCAGGATTTGAGTCCCTGGCGGCGTAGTGTGTTACTGATGGTAGGCCTTGTTACTTTGGTCCCAGCTCTCTGCAGGTCATTCACTAGGTCCCCCCGTGTGGTTCTGGGATTTTTGCTCACCGTTCTTGTGATCATTTTGACCCCACGGGGTGAGATCTTGCGTGGAGCCCCAGATCGAGGGAGATTATCAGTGGTCTTGTATGTCTTCCATTTCCTAATAATTGCTCCCACAGTTGATTTCTTCAAACCAAGCTGCTTACCTATTGCAGATTCAGTCTTCCCAGCCTGGTGCAGGTCTACAATGTTGTTTCTGGTGTCCTTTGACAGCTCTTTGGTCTTGGCCATAGTGGAGTTTGGAGTGTGACTGTTTGAGGTTGTGGACAGGTGTCTTTTATACTGATAACAACTTCAAACAGGTGCCATTAATACAGGTAACGAGTGGAGGACAGAGGAGCCTCTTAAAGAAGAAGTTACAGGTCTGTGAGAGCTAGAAATCTTGCTTGTTTGTAGGTGACCAAATACTTATTTTCCACCATAATTTGCAAATAAATAAATTAAAAATCCTACAATGTGATTTTCTGTAATTTTTTTTCTCAATTTGTCTGTCATAGTTGACGTGTACCTATGATGAACATTACAGGCCTCTCTCATCTTTTTAAGTGGGAGAACTTGCACAATTGGTAGCTGACTAAATACTATTTTTCCCCCACTGTATATGACACCTGGAACCACCTCAGTGGCCTTGTGGTTGAAGTGTCCACCCTGAGATTGCAAGGTTGGGAGTTTGAGCCCTGGGTGAGTCCTACCAAAGACTATAAATGGGACCTGATGCCTCTCTGCTTGGCACACATTATTAAGGATATGGATTGGGGGTAAGGCCTTGTGACAGATTAGGGGGTGTACTTGTACATCAAGTGGCTTCATGTTACAGAAACAGAAGATACGATGCCTGGGACTTGTTATGGATAAAAGCCTATACAGACAGATTGGTATAATATATCTGTTTTCTTGCATATGTTGACAAGATTATAGGAATTGACCGAAGGGGAATATTGACCAACAGAGCATCTTTGAATAGTACTCTTCATGTACACCTCAAAAACAAACTAGGGGGTTTTATGTTTTGAGCTTCTGCGTTGTATATTAAAGTGTAATATTGGGATGTAAACGACTGCGCCACTGAGGCTTTGGTTCCAGCCCAGTATTATGGGAACACACCTTATTTACGTAATCACCTTCTCATCACCCCTCAGACGTGTGCCCACCCCCGTCTCAGTTGAATCTCACCAAGCCCCTGAACGGTTATCAAGAAAACGGTTATCAAGAAAACAGCTCTCTGCGCTACCAGTGTGTGGATGGCTATGTGAGGAAGGCGGGGACCTCCAATCTCATCAGGTGCAAACGGACTGATCAGAAGCTTGAGTGGACACGCCCAACACTGATATGCATTCGTAAGTAGGCACACTACCCACCTATGACACATTGAGACAGACAAACCACACCTATAAGATCAGGTATTCCAATTATGCAATAACTATAGACTATATGTGTAATGCATATCATTTACATATAAAGAGCAGGTATGAGACTAGATATTTGGAACAAAAGTGTGTATTGTCTGGCTGATTCTCGCATGCTTATTCCAGCTGACCCATCTATTCCAACTACGATAGAACGTGAGTATTGCCTGTCTGCATGCCTGCATGCCTGCCTGCCTGCCTGCCTGCCTGTCTGTCTGCCAGAGAGAGAAAAAGAGAGATTCATGAATGTTGTTAATAAGGGCCAAAGCGTGATGGCAGGAAATGGTTGTAGTGCGTTTCATGTCAGGGGAGATAAGTGAGATTAAAGCCAGCATCCAGCATCTCTCTAGTTTTAGTTGTATTATTCACACCAAAAAATACAAGTGAAAGAGAAACAGTGCAGATAAAAGTTCTATTAAGTTGTTCTCAGTTCCTTATTGGTACTTTTCACCTAGATTTACTCCCACACCAGGGTGTCACCAGTGTTTTATGTTAATGTGAGCTCTAGTGTTATTGTGTTTCCATCAGGAGTTCGACACTAAAGACTTGTGGCAAGCAGAATCAACAACCTTGGCATCATTCAAGATTGTTGCTTTTGTGAGAAGGTGTTAAAGTTCGCAGTTAGCCATTGTTATGTAAATGAGAGCTGAAAAGTACCCAGGGCCTTGCATTGGCTCCAAGTCAGAGCTGGCCCGCCGGAGCTATGGCCCAGTGGGACACGGGTGCCGGCCCGCATAGAGGGAAACAGAAAAGTCTGAGCCTTTTGGGTAAAACACTGGGGTAAATTGTCAGTAGAGAGAGAGAGAGAGAGAGAGAGAGAGAGAGATACAGTGAGGGAAAAAAGTATTTGATCCCCTGCTGATTTTGTACATTTGCCCACTGACAAAGACATGATCAGTCTATCATTTTAATGGTAGGTTTATTTGAACAGTGAGAGACAGAATAACAACAAAAAAATCCAGAAAAACGCATGTCAAAAATGTTATAATTGATTAGCATTTTAATGAGGGAAATAAGTATTTGACCCCTCTGCAAAACATGACTTAGTACTTGGTGGCAAAACCCTTGTTGGCAATCACAGAGGTCAGACGTTTCTTGTAGTTGGCCACCAGGTTTGCACACATCTCAGGAGGGATTTTGTCCCACTCCTCTTTGCAGATCTTCTCCAAGTCATTAATGTTTAGACGCTGACGTTTGGCAACTCGAACCTTCAGCTCCCTCCACAGATTTTCTATGGGATTAAGGTCTGGAGACTGGCTAGGCTTCTTCTTGAGCCACTCCTTTGTTGCCTTGGCCGTGTGTTTTGGGTCTTTGTCATGCTGGAATACCCATCCACGACCCATTTTCAATGCCCTGGCTGAGGGAAGGAGGTTCTCACCCAAGATTTGACGGTACATGGCCCCGTCCATCGTCCCTTTGATGCGGTGAAGTTGTCCTGTCCCCTTAGCAGAAAAACACCCCCAAAGCATAATGTTTCCACCTCCATGTTTGACGGTGGGGATGGTGTTCTTGGGGTCATAGGCAGCATTCCTCCTCCTCCAAACACGGCGAGTAGAGTTGATGCCAAAGAGCTCCATTTTGGTCTCATCTGACCACAACACTTTCACCCAGTTCTCCTCTGAATCATTCAGATGTTCATTGGCAAACTTCAGACAGGCATGTGCTTTCTTGAGCAGGGGGACCATGCGGGCGCTGCAGGATTTCAGTCCTTCACGGCGTAGTGTGTTACCAATTGTTTTCTTGGTGACTATGGTCCCAGCTGCCTTGAGATCATTGACAAGATCCTCCCGTGTAGTTCTGGGCTGATTCCTCACCGTTCTCATGATCATTGCAACTCCACGAGGTGAGATCTTGCATGGAGCCCCAGGCCGAGGGAGATTGACTGGTCTTTTGTGTTTCTTCCATTTGGGAATAATCGCACCAACTGTTGTCACCTTCTCACCAAGCTGCTTGGCGATGGTCTTGTAGCCCATTCCAGCCTTGTGTAGGTCTACAATATTGTCCCTGACATCCTTGGAGAGCTCTTTGGTCTTGGCCATGGTGGAGAATTTGGAATCTGATTGATTGATTGCTTCTGTGGACAGGTGTCTTTTATACAGGTAACAAGCTGAGATTAGGAGCACTCCCTTTAAGAGTGTGCTCCTAATCTCAGCTCGTTACCTGTATAAAAGATACCTGGGAGCCAGAAATCTTTCTGATTGAGAGGGGGTCAAATACTTATTTCCCTCATTAAAATGCAAATCAATTTATAACATTTTTGAAATGCGTTTTTCTGGATTTTTTTGTTGTTATTCTGTCTCTCACTTTTCAAATAAACCTACCATTAAAATTATAGACTGATAATTTCTTTGTCAGTGGGCAAACGTACAAAATCAGCAGGGGATCAAATACTTTTTTCCCTCACTGGAATCGTTATCACTGATATCTGGGAAATGAGCCAATCGGTTAGCATGGGACTTGTGTTAATGTTAACCTCATAGACGTAGGGTGAAACCGTCTAAAAACACTTCAGTAGCTGCACAACATTTCCATAATGTTACTGTAGGTTTTGAACATAAGGCAGTTAAAAAAATAACAGTAAATGGAAAGTACAAGTTCGAAAGTACTATGGAAAGAAAATGGAAAGTACCATAGGGGAGTGGGTGCAGATTTCTTTTAATACATCAGACTAATAATAACTGACTGCCGTGTCGAACGCCCCTTGAGTCTATATGAATAATATCCTCTCTCCTTTCCTCTTCTTGTCATCCTTCGCTACTACTTTCACTTTCGGTCCTATCCTTTTCGGTACGTGATCTGTTTGATATAGTATATGGAAAAGCACATTGGCAATGTACAGAATGTTCCATACAACAGAAAGTATTCACACCCTTTGACTTTTTCCACATTTTTTTCTGTTACTGATAATTGTCATTGTTTGTCAAAAAACTATTACAAAATACTCTGTCAAAGTGGGAAAAAAGTATTATATATATATATATATATATATATATATACTAACGGTCAAAAGTTTTAGAACACCTACTCATTCAAGGGTTTTTCTTTATTTTTACTATTTTCTACATTGTAGTATAATAGTGAAGACATCACAACTATGAAATAACACATATGGAATCATGTAGTAACCAAAATAGTGTTAAACAAATCAAAATATATTTAATATATATACAAATAGCCACCCTTTGCCTTGATGACAGCTTTGCACACTCTTCACATTCTCTCAACCAGCTTCACCTGGAATGCTTTTCCAACAGTCTTGAAGGAGTTCCCACATATGCTGAGCACTTGTTGGCTCCTTTTCCTTCACTCTGCAGTCCGACTCATCCCAAACCATCTAAATTTGGTTGAGGTCGGGGGATTGTGGAGGCCAGCTCATCTGATGCAGCAGTCCATCGCTCTCCTTCTTGGTAAAATAACTCTTACACAGCCTGGAGGTGTGTTGGGTCATTGTCCTTTTGAAAAACAAATGATAGTCCCACTAAGCTCAAACCAGATGGGATGGCGTATCGCTGCAGAATGCTGTGGTAGCCATGCTGGTTAAGTGTGCCTTGAATTCTAAATAAATCACAGACACTGTCACCAGCAAAGCACCCCCACACCATAAAACCTCTTCCATGCTTTACGGTGGGACATACACATGCAGAGATCATCTGTTCACCCACATCTTGTCTCACAAAGACATGGTGGTTGGAACCAAAAATCTCCAATTTGGACTCCAGACCAAATGACAAATTTCCACCGGTCTAATGTCCATTCCTCGTGTTTCTTGGCTCAAGCAAGTCTCTTCTTCTTATTGGTGTCCTTTAGTAGTGGTTTCTTTGCAGCAATTCGACCATGAAGGCCTGATTCACACAGTGTCCTCTGAACAGTTGATGTTGAGATGTGTCTGTTACTTGAACTCTGTGAAGCATTTATTTGGGCTGCAATTTCTGAGGCTGGTAACTCTAATGAACTTCTGCAGCAGAGGTAACTCTGGGTCTTCCATTCCTGTGACGGTCCTCATGAGAGCCAGTTTCATCATAGCGCTTGATGGTTTTTGCAACTGCACTTTAAGAAACTTTCAAAGTTCTTGAAATGTTCCGTATTGACTGACCTTCTGACATGTCTTAAAGTAATGATGGACTGTCGTTTCCCTTTGCTTATTTGAGCTGTTCTTGCCATAATATGGACTTGGTCTTTTACCAAATAGGGCTATCTTCTGTGTCACACCATGATCTGTTTCACCTGTCTTTGTGCTTGTCTCCACCCCCTTCCAGGTGTCGCCCATCTTCCCCATTATCCCCAGTGTATTTATACCTGTGTTCTCTGTTTGTCTGTTGCCAGTTCATCTTGTCTCATCAAGCCTACCAGCGGTTTTCCCTTACTCCTGTTTTTTTCTCTAGTCCCTGTTTTCTAGTTTCCCGGTTTTGACCATTCTGCCTGCCCTGACCCTGAGCCTGCCTGCTGTTCTGTACCTTTCGGACTCTGCCCTGGATTACTGACCTCTGCCTGCCCTGACCCTGAGCCTGCCTGCCGTTCTATACTTTTCGGACTCTGCTCTGGATTACAGACCTCTGCCTGCCCTAGACCTGTCGTTTGCCTGCCTCCTGTTTTTGTACTAAACTTTTGTTACTTCGAACTGTCTGCATCTGGGTCTTCTCCTGAGCCGTGATACTTCTGTATACCACTCCTACCTTGTCACAACACAACTGATTGGCTCAAACGCATTAAGAAGGAAATAAATTCCACAAATTAACTTTTAAGAAGGCACACCTGTTAATTGAAATGCATTTCAGGTGACTACCTCGTGAAGCTGGTTGAGAGAATGCCAAGAGTGTGCAAAGCTGTCATCAAGGCAAAGGGTGGCTATTTGAAGAATCTCAAATATTAAATATATTTTGATTTGTATAACACTTGTTTGTTACTACATGATTCCATTTCATAGTTTTGATGTCTTCACTATTATTCTACAATGTAAAAATAAAGAAAATCCCTTGAATGAGTAGGTGTGTCCAAACTTTTGACTGGTAGTGTATATATGTCCTCACTAGGTTGGAATAATACTGTGAAAATGATGATAATGCCCTTTTAGCGTAGGAGCTGTTTGAAAAGCCTGTCTGAAATGTCAGCCTGTTTTGGTGGGATGGCGTTTTGGCCTGCCTGGTGACATCACCATGCGGTAAATTAGTTATGATAAACTGGGTGGGTCGAGCCCTGAATGCTGATTGGCTGACAGCCGTGGTATATCAGACCATATACCACGAGTATTGACAAAACATTTATTTTTACTGCTCTAATTACATTGGTAACCAGTTTATAATAGCAATAAGGCACCTCAGGGGTTTGTGGTATATGGTCAATATACCATGGCTAAGGGCTGTATCCAGGCACTCCACGTTGCATCGTGCTTAAGAACAGCCCTTAGCTGTGGTATGTTAGCCATATACCACATCCCCTTGTGCATTATTTCTTAAATAGACCAAGAAGAACAAGAGTTCCAAACCTCTCTGCCAATAACAGCTAATTTTCTGTTTCCCCCTCCCGACTCAGACCACTCCCAGACAGTCCTAGCCACATTTTTGCTATTTTGGTTTCTTTTTAACCATTTTAAATGAAAACAATCACAGTAAGTTACTTAATTGTTACCCATAAATTATTTAATATTGATCTAAAAACGGCTGCATTGGACCTTTAAACACTACTTTGCACATAGAGTGAGCCCATGGACTCAAGACATTTCAGCTTTTCGTTTTAAATTCACTTGTAAACATTTCTAAAAACATAATTCCACTTTATATTATGGGATATTGTGTGTAGATCAGTGACACAAAATCTCATTGCAATCAATTTTAAATTCAGGCTGTAACACAACAAAATGTGGAAAGATTCAAGGGGTGTGAATACTCTCTGAAGGCACTGTAAGTCCCTGCCCTGGTTGTATTGATTTCCTGTGACTGACCTCTTTCATCCTCTCTCCCCCAACAGCTTCAACAACCCACAAGACAACTCCATCTCCCACAACGCACCTCTCAGTGCCCACAAAGAGAGTTAGCCCAAGACCAACCACTCCCAGTTCACCAATATCTCAAACACTGCGTATGTCCCTCCCAATTTTCATCAATTGCTGCCTTTTTTCTCTCTATATGTTAATGATAAATGTCCCATGTGCCTCTATGAGAGGTATGGTTGGACAGGTCAGTTAAAACCGTTACTCTGACCTTTGCCCCTTAACCCTAGATCCTATCACAGGGACCCAAGAGGTCAATACTACGGTTACAGTGACAACCATCATCATCGATGACATCACATCAGTATCAGCCCCAACTCCCAGTGAGTATCCAGTTGGCGGTGAGGAGACTTGTCCATAGTATATCACTCTATTGAATAGTACAGATACATTTTTGTTGCATTTATTTAAAGATCTGTGTTGGGTAATGGTCCATTCTGGTGTACTGTTCTTTGTTGTTCATGCTAGACCAGGGGTTCTCAAACCTTTTTGGCCCACGACCCCATTTTGATATCTGAAAATTCTCATGGCCCCAACCATGTGAAAAAAATGTAATTAAAATGTAATTAACAGCCAACGTTACTTTTTTATTTGGGGCTATGACAGCCAATTGAAAAACATTCTAACAGTATTTCTGATCACCATCACATACTTTTAATGTGGGGCTATGACAGTCAATTGCAAATTAGTCTGACATAATGTATCTTATCTCACTGCCACTAATGAGATGGGTGTGCTTGATGCATGTAGTGTCGGAGCTTCTCAAAGGTCAGGGGTGTGGTCGATAGTGCGTACCTAATCTCTGCCGTCACATCCAACGAGAGCACGGAATCCAGCTTCACACAGATATGAGCCGGCGAAGGGTGGCATGAGTTTTATGGTGCATTCAAGACAACTGGGAACCTGGAAATATACAGGGTGAAATCATGACGTTAGTGATCTTCAGGTCGGAAAGTCGGAGCTCTAGAAAGAGGCCAGAGTTCCCGAGTTGGATGATAGTTCAAAGCGATTTTTCCCAGTCGGAGCTTGTTCTTATCAGAGTTCCCAGTTGTTTTGAACGTACTGAAGTTGTAAGTCAGAGATTTCCAAGTTCCCATTTGTTTTGAACGCGCCATTAATGCTCAGAGGAAGACGGCAGGGTATTCTCTTTGAGTCAGGAACCAAAACTCTTCCGTAGTGACCCGTGAATGCTTTTGGTCACATGACAGCTCGATCAGCTGTTCGATTTCACTTACCAGCATGTCTACTGAGCCAGAATTACAGTCAAACGGATTGGGAAGTAGGTCCGAAAGTGCTCTTCCAAGCGTTGAAGGTGAGCAGTCATCACTCGTGTGGGAAACATGCACCGCCGAGGGAAGGGGGCATGGTTGGCTTTTGAAAGACTCTCCAATAAGAAGTCTTTCCTTTGAATCCACTGATTCCGTCAGTCATCTGTAGAATGTTGTTTTGTTTCCCCACCCAGCATGCTTGTGTTCAGTTCGTTCAGTTTTTGTTACATAGGCAAGGAGACACATTTTCTTTTCATTACACAGAAAGTCAACCAAGTCTGTTTTTTTTACATCCATTGTGAATGACAACAGTTACTCTCTCAATGCGAAAAATATTTCCTCTCCATAACCACTTAGCCTCTGTTAAATTAGAACATTGTCATGCTCTGATCCCATATCTCCACATAGTTTTGCGAACAGGCGTGCGCGCAGTGGATGTGGTTTGATGTAGTTTACAATCGAAGTTACCTGCTGTAGTATATCTCCGAGCTCTGTGCTCAGCTCTTTTGCCGCCAGTTGCTGTTGGTGTTTGGTACAACGCGTCCATATGGCAGAGGGAGACATTCATAACTACAGTGCAGAGGCCTGCCCACCGTCCCACCGTAGATGGAGCCCCATCTGTGCAAAGCTCACCATTCGATCCATGGAATCTGTTTTTCGTCAATATAGCCACTCAGCACACTGAACATACCCTGTGCCGTTTCATGCTCGGGAATCGTGAGACAGAACATTATGTCCGACATGTATAGCGAACAAAAGTCAATGCATGGGCATCTCAGCCCTCACAGCTAACAATAATTTAGAGAGCATAAGATGGGGAGTTTTTGAGTCGTTCAGTCAGTTTCCTCTTGATTGCTAGCAATGGCATAGGATTTGTTTAGCAGTGTTATCTGACAAAGGTATTGATGTGAGCTTCTGTGCCGATGCACATTGTTTTCACCATATCATTTGCGGCCAGTGATATCAAAGTCTCTGCAGTAGTGTGTGGTTTCATAGCGTAGGGGGCCTAGACATTCACCTTGGAAATGATTCAAGTGCAACGGTCAAGTGCTGACTTTTCCCATGATCAAAGGGTGCTCTCTGGTAGAATTTCATATTTTAGATTTGAATAATGTTCATTTAGATTTTTAAGGTTAACCACATTACAATGATTTTGAGATACAAAGACGATATTATAATATATACTTTTTTTCTCACGGATCTTGAATATTTTCTCATGACCCCATTTTTATATCAGGTGACCGACCGCACATGGGGTCGCGACCCCTAGTTTTGGAACCGCTGTGCTAGACAATGCTAGTGTCACGATCGTCGACAGATGAAGCGGACCAAGGCGCAGCGTGATAAGCGTACATACTTTATTTGTGTACACACACGAACCAAAACAATAAACCAAACGATACGTGAAGTCCTAGGTTATACACAAAACCCTACGGAACAAGATCCCACAAAATACTAGTGCCAAACAGGCTGCCTAAGTATGGTCCCCAATCAGAGACAACGAGCTACAGCTGCCTCTGATTGGGAACCACCCTGGCCAACATAGATCAAAACGAACTAGAACCAAAAACATAGAAAACAAAACATAGAAAATCCACACCCTGGCTCAACATATAAGAGTCCCCAGAGCCAGGGCGTGACAGCTAGTCTTTAGAGAAAACTGCCTGTGTACCTCTGCCTGCTGGCTTCACTCCCACTGATCTCCCCTGGCATGGGCATGCTAACTACACACTCACAACAACCATTTCCTGGCAATATTCTTTGACCATTATTACCACACTCATGAATCTCTCTCTCTCAAGACTTTTACTTACTTATACAGTCTTTCTATCTCTCTCACTCTCAGGTGAAAGCACTGAGAAGAGTTCTGCTACAGTCATATATGCAGGTGAGTAGGCTACCACACAGAGATTACATGGAGGGAGGTACGTCTGAGAAAGGAAGTCTGAGTCCTTTCTCCTGATGGTTTTGTTTCTGTCTCTTGTTCCCATTGAATGGAAATCCTAGGTGTAGGCGTTGTGGTGGTAACAATATTGCTGGCTGCAGCGATTGGAGTACTAATGTTTTGGAGAAGGAAAGGGTAAGATTGGCTGGTTTCCTTGTGGGGAAGGGGTCTAATGATGTCTCTGTTTAATTCCTAACACTTTCTCTCCCTTATGGCAGGATGCAGCGGCTTGATCTGTCGCCAACAAAAGACGAAATGGAGCAAATGAATGTTGTGACATGAGCCACACCCCTTAGTGCCCTGACGGACAACCAGTAGCCACTTAGAAAGGACAAAGGTGCATCAGTCTGATGGTGGGTGAACAATGACCTTGGACTGGACAAGACGTGGACCATGTGTGTGTGTACGTGAGCAGGGCCGTAACCAGGGTTTGAGTTATAATGAGGTCCGGAAGGGGGCGGGCGGGGGGGGGTTGAAAGTTGAAGCTCCTTTACTGTATTTCTATACAATTAAACAACTTTAAAATGCTATTTGGAGAACAGTAAAAACAAGCAAAAATGACCCCAGCCATTATCACCTAGCATGCTATATTTGCCTGCTTGAGCCAACTGCGAGCTGGGGTCGTTCATTTCACGTCTCAGGCCCTTGCCATTTGAGAGTGGTGAATGTGCTGCTACAAAGGCAAATCAAGAATATAAGCATTCTGAGATTGTCTTTAATGTGTCCTCATGTGTGGAAAATGTAAATATCTAAAACACCACCAAAAGTGATTAATTTAAGACAATGTAAAAATTGTAATATTGATTATTTCATTGATTAATTAATATCCATAAACTGGAAAAGATTCTAACTAATCACAACAACACAAAATGCATGGGATTACTTTTTCACTGAATTCACAAAGGTACAGTTGAAGTCATAAGTTTACATACACCTTAGCCAAATACATTTAAACTCAGTTTTTCACAATTCCTGACATTTAATCCTAGTAAAAATGCCCTGTCTTAGGTCAGTTAGGATCACCACTTTATTTTAAGAATGTGAAATGTCAGAATAGTAGTAGAGATAATGATTTATTTCAGCTTTTATTTCTTTCATCACATTCCCAGTGGGTCAGAAGTTTACATACACTCAATTAGTATTTAAATTGTTTAATTTGGGTAAAACGTTTCGGGTAGCCTTCCAGAAGCTTCCCACAATAATTTGGGTGAATTTTGGCCCATGAGTCAGGTTTGTAGACCTCCTTGCTCACACACGCTTTTTCAGTTCTGTCCACACATTTTCTATAGGATTGAGGTCAGGGCTTTGTGATGGCCACTCCAATACCTTGACTTTGTTGTCCTTTGGAAGTATGCTTGGGGTCATTGTCCATTTGGAAGACACATTTGCGACCAAGCTTTAACTTCCTGACTGATGTCTTGAGATGTTGCTTCAAAATATCCACATAATTTTCCTTCCTCATGATGCCATCTATTTTAATCTATTTTCTAAGTACACCAGTCCCTCCTGCAGCAAAGCACCCCCACAGCATGATGCTGCCACCCCCGTGCTTCACGGTTGGGATGGTGTTCTTCGGCTTGCAAGGAACCCCCTTTTTCCTCCAAATATAATGATGGTCATTATGGCCAAACAGTTCTATTTTTGTTTCATCAGACCAGAGGACATTTCTCCAAAAAGTACGATCTTTGTCCCCATGTGCAGTTGCAAACCGTAGTCTGGCTTTTTTATGGCGGTTTTGGAGCAGTGGCTTCTTCCTTGCTGAGCGGCCTTTCAGATTATGTCGATATAGGACTTGTTTTACTGTGATTTAATACAGCTGTTCAGAGAAAGGGATAAAGCCTGGGCAAAGTACCAAAGAACCAAAGGTCCAACAGATTGGGAGTTCTGTAGAAAATTAAGAAACATTAGTAAAACTAAAGCTAGAAAAGCCTCCATCTAAATGGATAGTCTTACAAATATATATATTTTTTAATCCACAGCAGTTCTGGAAATACCCAAATTACTTTTTTAATAATCTGGCTTTAGACCCACTACAGCATTGAAATTGACTAATTATATAAATTCTTCATCTGACCATGGCAAACTAACTGGTGCCATCTTTACTGATTTATCAAAAGCATTTGATTTAGTAGATCGTTCTATCTTACTAGCAAAACGTTAA